TGATTTTGGTTCTTTAAAGTTAAATCCATAGCAGCAAATAAAAACAATTCTAAATAACAACATTTTGTTTTTTAAAAAAACCCCAATTTTCACGCTTCAGCATTTGTAAGCTCAGATGAATAATGTAGCAGAGAACTGATTTAAGAAGATAAAATGATCACAAAAACATAAGAGTGATATTACACATGGGAACAAAACAGCAAAATGGTCTACAAATTCTCCATTATAATGATGAGTATGACAAAACTTTCAGCTTACATTTGCTGAAAGTTAGCACCTATTTAAATTCCCAGCCTTCTTGGGTTGCATGCTTTGCTGTTTGAAAGCCCACGCCCTTTTCAGGACTCGTCCTTCAGGAGCCTGAGCCCCCTCAGAGCCTTCCTCAGTATTGCCCTCCTCCAGGGGCCTTCAGTGGACAAGCTACAGGTGAGTGGGGTAAAAAAAGCCTCCAGTGAGCCACCCCCAAGTACCCCCTTACACCCTATTGCTTTCTCCTCTGAACAGTGCAGCCTCCTGTACACCGAAAATATTTCTGTGAGCTTAATGCTGGAACTACTGTTAAAAGAAACACAACAACAGAACTCATTAAAAAATACTCACAGAGGAAGGAGAAAAAAAACCTCCTCAACACAGTAGCGTCTGTCTCCAGTAAACAGGGCTCTTTTCAGGCCCTGGGCTCAGACATAAGACCACTCTAGCAGGGTGAATGAATTACTGTCAGCTGGGTCATTTTCACTTAGCTTTAAGCACAGGCATTTTACCTGCCGTTTGCCAGGAGCCAAGATCTGCTCTGGTGGCATTTTTTATCCATGTGCCACCTGACCAGCAAACCTGGTGCAGTTTCCCCAGCAGCCATTACCCACCCCATGGGCCATACTGCAGGACCCCAGCCTTCACCCCCGCAAGGAACATCTCCCAGAGACAAGAACCTGCGCCTAAACGAAGCAATGCTTATCTCATGCATGCCACAGGTGTGATGTCATCCCCTCAGGCGCAGGAACCAGGATGTCTACAGCCTCCACTCTACGAAAATACAGGAACTAAAGTTAACATGTCTCAGACTTTGTTAAAATATGGTGATAATTAAAAAACAAAATTACCACAACAAAGTTAATTCCTCTCTGAGTTCTTATAAACAAGTTTTTAATTTGCAACAAAAATTTACATTTCAGATTTAAAGTCAACCAGGAACGGTACAAGCTCGGCCAGAGACTTCAGGCAGTGGCTGGTTGGTTCTGCAAGGCCTAGGGGGAGGAGCACTGTGGCTTCCCAGGAATATCACAAGCAGAGTTGCCAGCAAACCCCAGGTGCACACAGGTAAGCCCATCGGATTGCTTTAAACTCTCATCCCTTGTATGAGCGTGAAAATAATCACTGTGTCAGATGAACTTCTGCTTTTTATTAAAAAAAAAACATACCAAACAAAACAAACCAAACTTATAAGGTAATTGATTACTTTCTTCTAGTCTTTTATTAGTTATGATTAAGGAGCTATAGTAGCCCTGTTTACACAGCTCTAACAAGTGAGGACCTGCAGAACGTTATTGGCTTGGGGCCCACAACTTGCCGTCCATTCTCAACAGAATCAATCTGGAGCTGAAAACATCCCCGTAGGAAGCGTACACATCCCTGCTTCTACAGGAACAGAAACAGCAATAACTTCAGGTCCTGTAAGCTGCAGTTCAACTTACAGAGATCAGCCCTGACTTGTCATCGCTCTCAGCATGTTGGTGATGAGATCAGAGCACTTCACCAAGGACTCATACTTCCAGCTTGACAAGGGACAGAGGTGAGTGTGTTACACCTCACTGTTACTCGCCTCTCCAACTGCAGGAAGGAATCGAGAGCTCCTCTGTTTAACATGCAGTCACAGCACTGCCAATCTAAAATGGCTGATCAGTAATACTTTAATTGCAGTTTCATAGAAACAAATTGCTGTTTAATTGCAATAAGCTTGTCTGTGGCTTAGCTGGACTGACAATAGGCATATACCAGGTAGTAACAGTAACAAGCAGCAACAAAGGTTATCTGGTACGGCATGTACAGGAGTCTCAGGCAGTGCCATCAGACCCAGAACACAATTTCGCACTGATTAAATGTAATACTTAAAAAAATGTATATACATAAACTTCCTAATCTCAATTTTATTTTTTAATAGAGCTGTTCAGAATAGATACTTGCAAAAAAGCTGCACACTTCACATACAACTACCAGCAAAATACTTTGATAAAATATTTAAATTGAAATTATCTTTTGAAATCACAGAATCAGGTTGGAAAAGATCTCTGAGATCATAGATTCAAACTGAGACCATGTCAACCAGACTGGCACTCAGTGCCATGTCTAGTCTTTCCTTAAACACCTCCAGGAGTGGTGACTCCACTGCCCTGACAGCAAGGCATACTGTGCCAGTATGTGAGTTTTGGGGTTTTTTTAAAGTATTTACCCTAATGTTAGGTGATACAAATTTTATCAGTATTAACTAACAGGGAAAAAGGGAGACAAACTCAGTGTGGTTAATATTCTGAAGATGTGACTTAATTTCATAGGCTTCATTTTGTTAAGACATTCTCATTTTATATTTCATAAGATACTGCATAACCTCTTAAAATATTTAAAGATAAATCATGTAGGACTGAAAAGACAGTATCTTGTTGCAAACAGAATTTGGTTTGGAAAGGCTTAATGTCCCACTGCCTGCCAGGATGCGTAAATCTCATAACTAGACAGCTGGATAGGTAAAAACATTAAACCCATTTAGAGGGCAATCTTTTTACAAAATTGTTTCATTAATAAGAGTGACAATTTATATGATTGAGATGTTTAGATGCAGTATAGACAGAGCATTTTATCCAGGTTCATGAGGATGATTTCAGATTAGTAATATTTCCTTTGATTCTTTTTTTAACAGCATTCATTTTGGAAAGTAAGGGAAGCTCTTACTGAATGATTATTGGACTTTTCAGCAGCACTAAATGCAAAGGCTGTATTTCAGCCTCACTGCAGCAAATACATGTGTTTTTCTTTACAGATCTCCTTAAAAAGAAGTGATTTTTCACATAAGGACAAATCTAAGTGTTTCCAGTAGCCTTCTGCCCACATCTACCGTCCCCATTACAGCCTGTTTCATTGTGTGAAATGCCTGTGGTTTCAAGAAAGTGTTTTACCTAAAGCAAGAATACTACTTAAATATGTTCTATTGTATATTCATAGCTCCATTAGTCCTCCTGCAATTTAGCACATCAAAGCAAAGGCTTCATCACTTGCATGTGGATTATGCTAACATGAGTGACATTTGTAATCTTATAGGTCTGCAACTTAAGAAATGCTTTTAAAGTAAGCTATTAAATAGGTAGCTGTGCTTTACAAATGAGTCATATAATAGTTTATTTAAAGCTGTTAATGAACTTCAACCTCTACATCACTAAATGCTATACTACATTACTTACTAGAAGTTATTAGCTATCTTCTTAGCACTTCTAGGTTATATTGGACAACCAAAAATCTGTACGTGTTAGATTTAAACACTGTACCTTGAGTGCTTATACTGAAATAATATAAAAAGATGTCTACAGTCTCACTAATACTTGAATTCTATATTCATATGACTTCAAGTGTCTTTTCAAAGATATTGAAGCAGCACAATTTGCAGGACTCTGAAGACTTTAATGCCAGATCAAAAAGCTTAGAAACTTATTTAAAATACCCACAAGTGCATTTAATTAAAAGTCATACATAGTGTCAGTCATTTATGTTGTGCTTTATATGTTAGGCAAGTAGTCTTTTGTATTTATTGTCTGATACTACACATTGCTACATTTTCTCTTCTCTGAAACAGTGCTTCTTCCTTAAGCACTGAAGTGTTAAAAGAAGAAATTCGGCAGCCCTCCAATATACTAGGGGTCACAAAGTAGAATCTGAAACAAAAATATCTGCTGTTGGTTGTTTAGACAGATAAATCTGTAAATCAGCTTTTTGTGTATTGGCATCACAACAAAAATAAGTCAAGCTCACTCCATAACCAAGAAGCTGAGCAGTGAACACCTTCTAAAAAAGAATTAAACAAAATAGTGAGGTGTTATGAATGTATTAGTTTCCTATAAAAGTAGAGTATTTCTTAATATTGATTTGCTTTGAATTGCAGCAGAGCTAGAGTTGCTGCTTGCAGGTTCCTGACTGAAGGCATACAGTGGGCAGCCACAGATCCACATTAGTATTCTTGCTAAAAACATGAAAAGTCAGATTTTTTTCTGAAAAGTATTCTGCACAGATTTACCACAAAACAGCTGATGGGAAAAACATGCAAAATGAAGTTGTTCCCTTTCTAAGCTTAGAGGCGGCTTTGCTGCTTTGTGGGGAGGTGGTTTTTGTTTGTTTGCTTGCAGAGAACAGATCACATTTTGAGATCAGCTAGTTCTCAGAAACAGCCCAGGAAACAGGTTTTTCTTTCCTTAAGATTATCAGTGTTGAAAAGTTAAAGTCTCACCCCAGCAAACAACTTGATGTTGTTCAGATCAGAATAGCTATTGTATTCTTTTTCATGAATACTCAATCCTAGTGCTCTGCATGAGGTACAGACCTTTCGTTGGCTTCTGTTTTTTTGACCTCTTATGGTACATTCATAGCCTCTTATGCTTGCATGCTCAGAGACAGAGGCACATCCTTTACACAGAAGGAATTGGAAAGAAAGAGACCACAGTACCTCTGTGTGTCCTGTAATTCACTGCAATGGGAATTATAATGTACTTGCTGTAACCAGAATTAAGAATCTCCATGGAAAAAAACCCATAATTTTGAAGTAGTACTCATTATCCTTGCCACAAGTAACACGGTCAAGTAGTTTAGCAGAGTCTTTCCTGGCATAAGACAAAAGAAAAAATCCAAACCAAAAACCTACTTTTAAAGGTAATTGACAATTAAGGTAACGGCTATGAAAGATGAAGGTGCAGAATGTTTTGAATGTAATTAAAAAAAAAAAGCAAAGCTTCTAAAATCCATACTCAGTTTTGTTTTACTTTTTATTATTTAAATACACCATACTAGAGCAAATGTCTCTGAAAATATCACAAATAAAAGATTTTTCTTCATTCAGCAAATTAGAAGTAGGTGAAAATTTCTACACAGTAGCTGCTATGAGCCTGACTTTTTTTCCTTTTTTTTTTTCTTTTGCCATGGGAAGTAGCAACATTAGGACAAAAACACTTACATGCATACATACATTGTATTTTACAGAGATACAATAAAAGTGTTTGTGATAGAATATCACAAAAGCCACATCTTTATCTCATGTTCAGTTTGATTGAAACACATTTCCTTACAACACTTAAATATACAAAGAGCAAATAGAATGTTGTTAAGGTAAAACACAGGGTACAAACTGGCCAGTGCCCTGCTAATTGTTAATGAGGGTAGAAAGCAGATTTCAATGCTTCTTTTAATTAGCTTCATTAGTCATCTTCCCCACCCGCCACCCCCCAAGATGTCCTCCGGTGGATCTTTTTTCATTTTCTCTACAGTCTCCCATTAGCCCAGGTTCATGGAGTCCTTAATGTTCATATTCAGTCATTTTAATACACCAATAAATGTGGGAAGGGCAATCAAGAATAAAGAAGGTGCAATGGTATGGAGCTGGCATTGATGCTAGCTACAAAGGTGACTTGTCTACTTGGAGACATGGGATCCATCTGTGATGAACAAAATTTGAGATGAAGGCACGCATTCTGCATTACTCTGACCTTTTAGCAGACCTGTAAGAAATAAAAATGGGTATCTTAGCTAAATTTGAGATAGGAAACTACAACATGACTGCTTTTGTTTTTCCCTATTCACTAATCTCTTTTTCATTAGACTACTTTCCAACTGTGCCTTGATTAAGGCTTTCTACACTGTCCATTCATACTGCTAACGTTTCAACTTTAAATAGCAAAAACCAAACATTTTTCACAGTTCCACTACTAAAGCAAGCAGACATGGAAAAAAGAGAGAATACAACAAGAAATAAGTGTACTTTCTGGTAACAAATCATACAGTGAATAAGGTGGTTTTTCTGGGCCGTGTTTGAAAGGGAAGAACCATTATGCCATGCCTTTGAAGAAGCGAGTAATATGATCTTGTAATTGGAAGAAATAGTGTGTAAAGCAAATATGAAGTACAGCCAATATCCTCCCAAGGCAACTTTGGTTAATATGCTGCATTGCACAAGAGCTAAATATAGATATTTCAGGATTCCCTCCTCCCATTTAAATTCCTCATCTGGTACTTTAGTTAATGTTACATAAACATTTTAATATATGAAGTCAAACATGTGCTTTCATACTGGTGTTAATGAATTGTGATAATTAAAAGTGTCTAACTCAATAAAAATCTAAACTTTCATGGATAAAATAGGAATGATCATCCATAGTCTTCAAATACAATCTGTTTGCAATTACCAAAATGAAATAATATGTATTAGATTTTTATGGCTTTTAAATGACATTTTGCGCTTCCCAGGAAGTTCTTTTTTCACCCTTTCTCTAAGTTACCAAAAGCCTGAGGTCTATTAGTAACTGCAACCCCCCACTTTCAAGCTAATTAAAGTAGTAGAGGCTTGGAGGTTTAATTCCCCAGAGCCGAAGCTCAGTGTGAGAAAGGTAATTTGTCTGTCCAGAACAAAGATTAGGGAGCAGCCAGCAAGCATATTTAATAAATGAGCATCAAATATCTTCTACTATGGACACAGACAACACCAATTATGTAACTACAAGGGAATTGTTGAGTGATACGTAAACTAGAAGATTTTTAAGATCTTCTCTAAGAGACGTAATGTAACTCATACTTTATTTAAAAGTACAGAGGCTGAAGACAAGCATTTGTTACAAACATTGCCAACTGGTGGAAAATTTACACTTTTAGTAGGTGGTAATACTGTTGCAAACAAGAAATACTACAGGAATACTACCAGTACAAAAAAAGCAGAGAGAATTCTTGATAATACAGCCCCTTCAAATGAAATGGCACACAGGACATCACAAACTAAGTTTGCACTCTGCAGGCAAGCAGTACTGAGTTTAAAGAAAACAGGGATTTTTAAACTACAGGGCAAGTGATGGGAAGTTATAACTTACATGTGTGAATTGCCTCAGGGAGGCAAAAGGCAGGAATGGCAAACATCCCTGCATTTGCCTCCTTAAAAAAACTCCCAAGTTTTTAAACCAAATTAGGCCATCCAACCATCCCTGCCTGCACCAGTCACCTGCACACTGCAGTGAGACAAAAGTAAGTTCATAACTGTCACCCTTATATGCACAACAAAAATGGGTTTTAATGTTGAGAGTATCTCAATCTCTTTGGTCAAATAAAAAAAAAAACCTGTGGATATTCTGCTATCTCTGTAATCTCTAGTGATAGATTAACATGGAAAATGATTGATCTGTAATGTTTAATAAAAAGTATCTGTTACAGCCAATTCTGTTACAGTGGAAGAATATTTTTAATCAGTGGCCCTAATACATGCAGCTTTCTGGAAAACATCTCTACTGTTAAAATCTTTGGACTGTTGAAAGCAAAATATAAAACATAACTCTCTTAGCAACTGCGCCTGTAGCTTCCAAATTTCCAGAAACCTCACAAATACATGAATTATCAACTTATCTCTTTTAACTGTGTTTGTTTTCTGGAGTTTCGGTGCTCTGCAATTCACTTTGAAAACCAGTAGGAGAAGGTAGAACAATTTCTAGAGATTGTATTATAAAGAAAAAAAAAACCTCAAACTACATGTCCCCTCAACTTTCTCCCCAATAGCTGCTCACCTGCCTCAGCTCTGGCCCAGCAATGCCACTACCAGTGAGTGGCAGGAGCTCACAAAAACCTGCTCTCACCATTCTCCTTGCATTTACTCCCACCAGGTTCCTACAGCCACAAGCTCGGCAAGCCCAGTCCTGTTCTGCTTCTCTTTTCCATGTTCTGTGTTCCTCATCATGTCTGCTGCTTTTATTGCAACTAAATCATTTTTATGTTTTGCTAAGGCAGAGAAAGAAACTGATAAAACTAAATGACAATTTAGACACCTATTCAAAGTTACATTAAACTTTACATTCGTAGAAGACAAGTGGATAAACCACTCTCAGAATGGTAAACCTTTTACTGCAGTGTATAAAGATGAATGCTTTTACCTATATTTTGAAATGGGATACCTATAAATATTCATTTAACAGAATCACTGCTAGCTAGTCTATATTACAGATTTGTTTCATTAAAATTCACAACAGTATAAATCTATGAATCTTTAACTCTATTTGTACTTCCTTGAGAAGAGGCTGCACATTCTCTTCCAATCTTAATTATCTTTGTTCTGCCTAACTATGTAGCATTTTTGTACTCAATTCTCTCATCAACTCGATTGACAAATTAAGTAAATAAAAAAGGTCTATGCTTTATATTTTGATGTAATTACATTCATTGTATAAGACTTGAAAGAATACTTAAAATTAATCAGTAAATTTATGCACAGAAAAAAAAAAAGCAAACACAGATATTGAAATGTAACAACACAACCAAAAAAAAAAGTAAATTAAAGAGCGGTTTCTGTTTTCTCGGACACACTTCTCCACTCACTAAAAGCACTACAAAATATACTGTACACTACAGAATAGATCAGCCTAGCATTTGTCCCAGATTTTTTTTTAATCTTCCAAATTCCTACTTGCAGATAAATGTTATTTTTGTGATCCTTACAGACATTAATGAAGTTCCTATTGTAAATCTATAAAGAATTACCAACTGAAGTGTGCACTTTTTGTTTCATTGCAATAACTCAGTGCTGTGTGATTGCCTGGGTTAATGATGAAAAAGTCAAATATACTATCAGAGCTGATGGAAAAATCTATCACCAATCTGAAATTAAAATTCATCTGTGGTCAATAAGATTTAATATCCATGCAAGTGGCGCTGTAAAGAGTAAATGAATCAATGTCATCAATACATAATCAGTATGAAATATGATGTGAATAAAATTATGTGCAAGAGTCATACATCCACTCTTTTCTGGACCAGGGTGGAATGAACAGTCTCTTAACTCAAGGTTGACAGTAATTGTTACAAATTAGGCACAGCAGTTATCAAAATGCACTCACTTGCATAGCTTTAGGACTGATTAAGAAGATTAAAATACATCTAAAACTATCTAGTTTCAGAGTTACAAGACAACTGTTGATCAGAAATTTTTTTTCTTCTTCACTCTATGATCTGTACAGTCATTATTTACTCATTCAGCTAGAAACCGAAACTATCAACCACAGAGATACACAATCTCTAGTTGAGCTATCAGTGTTATGGAACGTTAAGGAAATGGCACTTTGGTTTTAAAAATCTGAGTTATGACACACAAAACAGGCAAGAAAGTACTTCTGAAAGAGTACCCAAGCATGCTTCCTCAACTAAAATCTTAGTATTAAAATGAAATACATTAGTTTAGTCCAGGAACCTTCTCTTCAGAAGACATTTATTTCCATATTAAAGGATCTAATTTTCCTCCCTCAGAAACCTGCTCCCTTGTAGCCCTTAATTTCAAGATTATAAAATAAAATACTTCTCTTTCTTAAAAGTTTGTATTAATGTATGCTTTCTATTTTGCTTTGTACATAAGGAGCTCAACACCTGTACAGATGCACGTGCCCAAACCAAAATAAAATGACTCACCCTGTATGTCATATTTAAAGGGTTACTATTTTCTCCCCACACCCTGTACCTAAATAACTTAAGGCAAGTTCAGCTACTTAAAGGTCTCTTTGCAGGGGCAGGGAATGTCCACTATTAGAATGAAAAGAAATTGATCTTCATTTAGCTCTAAGAAAGCTTATTAGTAATTGTGGAGTATTCACCTTCTGGTCTGGCAGTAGTGGATTACTCTGAAGTGAATTCAAATGGCCATTGATGAGAGCTGTAGGTCTATCATGTTCACAAAATAAACTGCCATTGATGTAGTGAAACCGATCTCCGGGGACCAGGCGATTCCGGCAGGTAGAGCATGTAAAACACTGGGAAAGGAAAGAGACAGCAAGTGAAACTACAGCACAAATTAAGTATGCTGCAGGTTTGAAAATTACACTTCAGAGACTGCAAGTGCAGTTGAGATATGGAGCTGCTTGGTTTCTAGTATCTCCAAATATGGCATTAGTCTTACCTGTTGGGACTATGCAGTACATAACTCAAGCAGAGTTTTACCGATTACGAGGGAACAAAGCCATGCGCTAAGGAAAGCTTTATACTAGATACTCCTTCTTCTAATTATTATTTTGCACTTCATTCATAAGCAGATGCAGGTTTTACACTAAAGAGGCAAAGTGGTACTAATCAGCTGCTAAAAATGAAAGTACACAGAAAAAAACCCTCACCTTAAGATGATAGACATTGCCCTGTGCCCTCATAACCAGCTCACTAGCAGGAATGGACTGTCCACAGGCACTGCAAGCACCACTATTTCCAAATAACCTGAAACAGAGGTGATGATTGTGAATAATTTAATACACAAAAGGCTCTAGGCATTTTTGCACATCACTGCCATGGTTTATTACACAACTATTTTAGACTTCTGACCCCCATCTTCCAACTTGCTTATGTTTCATAATATGAAAAAGTATATTTTTGTGTAACAACTGGTAGCTTCACCTTACCTTGGATGTGGTTACACAGGATTTAATCAGAAATATTGACTTACACCTCTAGAAACACAAACAATTCTGTACTACACACATTTTATCAGATTACTGGGTTCATCATAAAAAAAAAAGATACAATTCATGACTGGAGTTTAAATGCATTGTGTCCTTGAAATTATATGAAGAACTCTTTTGTACTTTAATCATATCTTGAGATATGAGTCATCAAAAGGGTTAAGAGGATTTGATTGTATATCTAAGAAGACATCATGCTCAGTGTATTGAAACTCCAGTAAACCTCCATCAGTGCAGAGTTTCCATTAGAAACTCTCTGCTATCCAGGTTGATATATAATGTGTATGGGTTAACCTTTTCAATCATGGTGTCAACACTTTAGATTTGCCTCTGCTCATCTCTTTCATCCTAACCTTCTCTCTCTCTTGATAATGAAATGCTTGCTCCAACTTCCCTCTATCTGCTCCTGAGTCCACAATTTAGATTACTTCATCTCTGCTAGCAACAAACTGAATGAAATTTCGATTTGAGCAGAAAGTAATTTACCGGGATCTGGACCCATTTGTCATCATATCTCTCTGGGTGTTTGCTGTATCACTGCAGTTTTCCTATGCAATCAAATGAGACCACAACATCACGCAGTGGGGGGAGGGGGGAATAGGCAGAAGAGTGGTGAAGAAAAATATATACATAATTCTTCAAATCCATTTAAAGGCACAACACATCGATTCAAAATATAATACAGTAATGATTATTGAGTTCTACTTTTACAGGCTGCCTCAGCTAGAATTAGAAAAACCTTTATTTGCTTTTGCGCGAGTCTCTAATAGACACAAATATTTATAAAGACTACCACAATTCATTTTACAGTAAAAAAGGAAACTGAACTAGCTGGCAGGGTCACAGACCCACTTTTCTGCACGATGTAAAACACAGTAATAGGATTTACAAATTAGCGTATTGGTGTCATAATAAATATTAATATTTGCATCTCCTTCCTGTCCAAATAAAGTCATAAAAATCTGTTTGTGTCAACCTAGGACATGCATTATAACAGAATACCCGTAATCTGAATGATTGCAGTGTGCCTCTGTATAAAAATAATTGCTTTGAATTTTCAGAATCTGAGCTTGCAGAGGAGGCTTGTCATGTTCAAACTACTAATTTGCTGTCGCCACTTTATTGAAAATAGCCTGTAAGTTGTTATTAAATGTATCGACTGAACGACAGAGAGAGTAGTAAAACTGCCCCTTAAGATGGCTTTTAATAGGAAGCTGAGAAACAAATTTTGCAGCAGCATCGATTTGAAGAGTTCAATCAAAACTCCATTTCAAAACTAATTAGTCTGAGATCCACGACACATTGACACGTTCTTGCAGAATCACAGCGGTTACAAAGGGAAAGCTGAACTAATACATTGTCAGGACCTCCCGCCAAAGGGACTGCACTGGCTGGAAACTAAAGGTCCCCTATTAGGGCATCTTCCAAACCAGGACCAGTTCCGAATGACACACCGAGGTTACTTGCAAAGCATTGCAATATGCATTTTTCTTCTTTCTTCGTTAGTAATGAAGTTGGCACTAGAGACAGTGCACAGGAAGGGCTGTGAGACAAGGCAGAAGGCACTGCTACATTTCTGGAGCAAAGATCCAACAATCCCGAGTAAGAGGGAGGCAGCAAGGACATTGCTGGGTAGAAGGGTGAAGATGGACAGATGATGTCAGATGTCCAGGAGAATCTGAACGTGGTGAGCTCTCTCTCACAGCCCTCCCTTCCCCCTGTACAACTGCACCACCCAACTGAAAACACAGCTTTCAGAATGCTGATCTCATTGCACTACTTGTCTTCATTAAGCATTCATTTGTTATACTATTCTCTCTGAACTAGAGTGGTCCCACACCTTGAATGTCTGTGAATTCTAATAAACGGAGTCAAACTAATCCTGAGGCTTTCCACATATCTTAAGTTTTCCCCAGGCATGTTCCCAGAATAACTCTACTTTGGGAAGACACTTCAGCTGAATCTTCTAGTAAAATTTCTAAAAATTACTTACAAAGCCAGAACACCTTTCCGCTGCTTATTATTATTTATCTACCAAGAAAATTAAACTTATTTTTCCTTCTCTACTGTTATGAATGGTTTTGTTCCGTAATGCCATTAACAGGAAGAAGTTTTATCTTTTTAAAAAATGTTATTTCTCTTTACCAGCAAAGGAAGTCTTCCACATTAACTATTCTTTACTGAAAAAGTTGTTTTGCATGGTTTCTGGGAAGCTGGAGAGCTAATTATCTAACCAGGGGGACTGTCCAGGACAGTATTTGATTTAAAAGGCTTGAGGCTTTAGGTGCTCAATTAAGTAGCTATCGGTCTCAGACTGGACTTTAATGGGCTCTTTTCTCTTTAACTGCAGCAATGGGTAGAGATACCCCAGGTCAGGCTAATTAAAGCCAGGGGACTCTTTAATTGTGATGACAGAATTGGTTTCAGTTTCCTCTTTGGGTCCTCAGTCCAAGAAGGTCATTAATATTTCAACATTTGGGCAATGCAATCAATCACAAACATCAAGAGGTTCCCCGTACGGACAAGGCAGCTCTTCTACACTTAGCAGCATTTTACTGAGCCACCTTAAATTAACTACTGTGTGGTTCCAACACAGCATTCCCTGCACCCCCAAATGATTCTAGTATTTTTTTTTTTGTTGGTGGGACTTTTTTCAGAACTTTCTATAGGAGAGTGGGAATGAAAGCAGCAAGAAATCTTCTCAACCCAGTTTCCCATGTTGCTGCTCAAAATTCGGCATCAGCAGAAACACGTCTCTAGCAACTTGTGCTAACAAAATAAGGTTCCATTGCTTTCCAAAATCGTGGAGACAGATTTAAGCACTCTGATTCTTGCACGACATGGTGCACATTTGTGTCCACATACATACATCCAAGCCCTAGCAAAGAGAAATGCACATCCAGACCTACTGATCCAGAAAGAATCAGTGTTTTTGTACATTCCCCGCATTTAATCTAAATTCTGCACCAGCTATATTAAATGTAACAAAGAAAGGCAACACAGAAATTACGCCTGAAGCGAAGTCCATTAAAGGTACTTCAGAATAACTAGAGACCAAGCACCTTAAAAGCACCAGAAGCTATTGATACTTAAAAGGGGGGCTGTGCATAATGGCAAGTGCTGCATTAGAGAAGAGGAAGAAAAAAAAAGGAAAAAAAAAAAAAACCAGCCAAATTACGCTTGGTTAATTCAGAGTAACAGATCTGCCCCCAAGTGAATTGGAGGCCTTGAATTAATTCTGTTATGACAAATCAAGATAAACGTTCCCCCTAAATTGCATGCGATTTAATTAATTTTTGAGATCCTGTTTTTTTTTTTTTTTCCTAGCTAATAGTTCACATGCTCCTGTGCTGTCATTGTGCTTGAGTGGGCAGACTTCAAAGTGATATTAAATAACCAACTATTAGATTTACCTAGCACGTCCTATTGGAAAAGTGCCATTTAATTACCTAGCCTGTTCAATTAAAGGGACAGCATTCCCTGAATATAGCAGCTTGCCGCTGATTACCAGGGAAATGAACTGGCTGCCGGCGGCCCCCTCCCCGGAGCGGCCTCAGCGCGGCGGGGCCGGGTCCGGCCGCCCCTCGCCCCGGGGCTGCGCCCCCGCCGCGCTGCGCCGAGCGCCCGCCCGGGGAGGGGCACCGGGCGCTGCCCCTTTAAGAGGCGCCCGGGCAGTCTCCCCCTCTCCCCCTTCCCCACCACTCCCTGCTCTCTCTTAGAGGCCAATTTTGTTAATTAAATGTTTTGTTTGCGACGCGGCTCTCATTCATTTCGGACACGTCATTCCGAGCAGATCTAAGCCAGCGACCAGATCTCATTAGATAAAACCTATCAGAACTAAGAGAAAATGGAGGAGACACTAATTAAAGCTTTTAATTGTGCGGATTCGCTGCCACGCTGCTGCTTTATCTGGCATCTCAAGGTTGGGAGGGCTGCGCTCTGCTCCCCTCCCTGAGCGCGTTGCTCGCCGTGGGGAGGGAGACGAACGGACCGGGGTTTTCACCTCCCTCTTTTCCCAGGAACCTTGGCCTTCAATGAAAGCTGCAGCTGTAGCTCTACGCCCAATCTGTTTTCGGGTTTTGGGGGGGAGAGGGAGGGAAAGGGGAGTGTGGTGTTGTTTAAGCAACAACAAATAACCCCACGTACAGCCTGAGACAGCTAAAAAGCTCATTAATAAATGGCCCTGTGGTCTTGGCCCGAAGGAGTCAAGTCCCTTTCACCTGGCGCCTGCCGGGCCGATCGATCCTCTCTCCCATTTTGTCAGTCGTGTCCGCGTGCCCCGCGCCTCCGGCTGAGAACCGTGCCCGTGGCTCTTGCCTGGAGAAGAGAACGCGCCACCACAAGCGCCCGCCAGAAAACTGAGAGGGGAGAAGCATGGCAGAGGGGAACCAGAGAGACTCGATGGCAGAGTGGCACTGCCTCCACAGCCAAATGTGACCATTTCACACACAGGAAGGGCGAGGGCTTCGCTCACACCAGCATGACCCACGAGGAGGCCTGCAAAGTCCATTTCCAGCGGGAAAGCTCCACGTTAACTCAGCTCTGGTAGCACCAGGCCACCCTACCCCACCTTGAGTGTACAGTGTCCAGTTCAAGTTTCAGCAAGCATCTGTCAGAGTTATTTTTGCAAGTCAAATTACACAGATCTAAAGAGAAGTCAGGCAATGGGACAAGGAGATCAATTCAAACCCCTCATCTGATAAAGCATCCTATTCATAATCGCCTACATTAAAATAAACGAGTATTAATTTTTGGCAACACAAAACCAGAGGACTGTGATAAGCTTGCCTGAACTTGCCTCTGGGACACAGTGGATGCATCTTCTCTTTTTAATTAGTAGCAATCAGACATGAGGGTTTGTTTGATGGTGTTGGTCGAGTGATGAATCCGTACTATTCAGTGCATCTTAACAGTAGTGTCAATTTTTCCACTTCAAACGAGACTCTTCCCCTAACACCGTTCTGCTCTATTTAATTACTATTCTGCCAGGCTTAGGCTTGCTGCCTAGGATGATGACCAAAAAGCACCATTGTGCACCCACAATGTGCTGATTTTTTAGCATTTCTCTCTAGAAATACCTCAGAAACTAGCAAAGCTATGGCTTCAATTGCTCAGACATACCACAGGACCTGTTGAATATACTTAACTACACGAAGCCACGGCCACATACCAGGTCAGAAACTGTACTACCAGAGTAACCAAACCTTAACTCCATCCTCTTAACTAAGGAGGTCTCTGTGCACAATCCACATCTTCTCAAATCCAAGTTTTACAGCATAAGCAAACTTGTAACATTTGATGGCTGCTTTTGGTAGGGATGTCTTTTCTTCAGAAAAGCAAAAAAAGCAGAACTTCTTGGCCATCAGTAAGAAAGTAAATCCTGGGTTAACTCTTGACATTTACCATTAATTAGGAGCCAGAAGCATTTAAACAGAACACAATTTGTTTTAACTAAGCATTTCTGTGATGCTGGGAAGGTATGGGGCTTTTTTGTTGTTTTTTTTAATTACTGAATGTTGAAACAGAACACCTCCTTGAAGCATTCATGTGCATCAGTCCATCAAACCATTTACTCAAATTAAATGTGTAATCCTTCAAAATGCCTCCTTTTAAATTAATGAGTTTAAGTAGCTTGAGTTCACCTGAAAAGATCGTACAGGCACCTGACCTCATGAATTCTTTCTATTAATTATATTGGAAACTTGTTGGAAGAGATACTCTGCATAATCTTACTGTACCCCAACAGATGCGAGATTAGTGAGGCTTAGTTCCCCCTACCCAAATCTGTGGCATTTAAAGCAAACAGCTTCAAAAGAGGAAGAGATAAGAAATAAAGGGCAAGAGCATATACCTCCTCTGCTATCTCCTGCATTGTCTATACTGGAAGTTAAGAGAAATACCAGTTCAAAGCTTCTCTGTAACAATGTTGAGACAAACATCATACCACTGTTTTTTTCCTATGAGTAGAATCCGTGGCCCTCCAACTGATGGTTAATCAGCTCTTTCACAAGGAGAAGAGAGAATGAGTCATTCTGTTTCCACTCAAAGGAGTTTAAAGGTGCTTATGTAAATATCATAATTAATCAGATACTAAAGGCAGGCATTTCATTATTTAGCACCTCTGCCACAGCCTTATTTAAGCCCTACGATTTTAACATTTACTGTTCAGATATGCACACTTCTCCTTCAACACTACAACAAAGCAGATTAATTTAGCCTCTCTGATTGCTGTTTATTTTTAGTTAGGACTTGTTTTGTGCTGACAAACCACTTTAAAGTTACAGTCGTCGTTCAGCCCCCCCAACTCTTTCCTCCACTTGGCAGTCGCAACTCGCCCTGGGCTAGGCGCTAACAACCGCACCCGCACGTCTCTCTCTCCTAATGAAGGAGCCATCCTGAGCCAGCCCACCCCTCTGCCCTGCGGACACCCACCACGAGAAATAAGGCGGGGGAAGAAGAGAAAAAAGGAGAAAAAGGCAGCGAGAAAGGAGTAAAGCTGTCCTCACCGGCCTGGCCGTCGCCTCACCTGATGTAGTCGTTTCTGCAGAGAATCATCCCGCTCTTGGTGTAGCAGGAGGTGCCGATGTCCCCCAGCTGGGCCTGGCAGCAGGAGCACTTGAGGCAGCGGCTGTGCCAGTAGCTGTCCATGGCGTAGAGCAGGAAGCGGTCGGCGATCTTCCCCCCGCAGCCGGCGCACCTCTTCCAGGAGAGGGAGCCCGCCGTGACCGGGGGCGGCTGCGCGCTGCCGCCGGGGTTCACCATGGCCTGCGCGGAGAGAGGGGCGGGGGCGGGTCAGAACGGGCCGGGCCGGGCCAGCGGCGCTCCGGGCCCCGCGGGGCAGCGGCGGCCGGGCCGGGCCGCGGGGCGGGGGCGCGGCCGCGCAGCTGGCGGGGAGCGGCGGGCGCGGGGGGCAGAGCGAGCACAACCCGCCGCCCCCCCGCTCCGGGCTTGTGCAGCTGCAGCTCACAAGTCAGGAACAGTCCCGGGGTTTGTTTTGCTTATGAAAAAAAGTGTGTGAAGAGTGGAGGGGGAAAAAAAAAAAAAAAAGTTGTGAAACTGGTTTTTCAGTCCAGGAGAGGCTCTGCAGGCTCAGGGCAGTAACGAGGGGCTCCAGACCGGCCCTCGAGGCCTTGGGATTTTATTTTTTGTAGTTTTATTTTGGAGAATTAAAAACATCCAGAGAAAACACTCCAGATTGAGGACACTGGCCCGAATAATAGATCATTGAACTTTAGGACGCCTGTTAACTTCCTACACAAACATACTCAACTTTTGTCTCGCTAATCTGCCCTTGATCAGCAGTTTAAATGCTAAAGCTTTGTTACTAAAAAAAAAAAAAGTTTACCGACCCTAGGAAAGCAGCAGAGTAATGAAGTGCATCGCTCCGGCTGCGGTTACTCTGGCCGCTCCCGAAACTGCTACTAAGGGCATTTTTCACTTTCTAATAAATGCTTTATGCAAGCAGGACAACCGAGAGATAATATAGGAATCAATTCATAAAGCTTACTCTAAACCGATTAATTTGTTGCCTTCAATCCAGGGTCCAATAAACTCCCGGTGTTCCTCTAGTCACTTATACTATAAAAAGATCAAGTTATTTACTGCCAATTAAGCAGCATGTTTTGTCTTTGTCCTTTGTAAGCCGTATGTGCTCATGCCGAGGCATCTGGCTATCTGCTAAGGACCTTCAGACTGATACGTCCAGAGCAGCGAGGACGAACTTTTCCTGCGACTGGCCCAACTCGGCTGCAGGAGGAGAACTGAGGCCGATTTAAACACACATTTCCTCAGAAAGAGTACCTGGAGGTACGTCCAGTGACCGCACAATAAACCAGGAGAACTGCACCAATTAAGCTGTAACAAAAACCCCGAGACTTTGGAAAGAAAACCACTCTAAAAGCCATTAGCATTGCATTTATCCGAACGCATCGTGTACCTTTATGTAAATTGATTTCTGATGCATTTGTTCAAGGAATTGCCTTTTGTTACAGTTTCCAGCTACAGCCTAATGAATCTGCATTTCCTGCTCCGAGTCTTTAAACCGTTTTCCTATGCTTTAAATCACTTCAGATTTCTTGAAAGAAAGAAAAAGGCTCCATGCCACCACCTTAACCTGTCTTTGTCGAAGACAAATATGTATAAATATAAAATGGGAAACGTTACACTGAGAAAACCATCCAGTAACCCCATTAAGCTAAAGCTCTTAAGGACAAGCAATACCTTAATGCTGATTAAATCTAAAAAGATGAATCAAGAGGACTGACCAGAAAGTGACTCCCTAGATAACTAAGGACGGGCCCTCATCAAGTTTCATTTAGAGTTGGGGGGGGGAAAGCTTTTAACTTAAATAGGCTTACTCTAGTAATTACAGAGCCAAGCAATTTTGGTCCTGGGATAGGAGTCAGTGAAATAGAAAGCAGAGCTAGAAGCTGGAGGCAAAATACCCCCCTTTTAACAGCGTCTCTGGTGCTTTTTAAATGGAGACTAAGGGAGGGAGAAGCGGAGAGCTGGAAATTTGTAGTACAAAAATGGATGCTTAATTCATGTCTTGGTTTTAATTAGGTGATTCACCGAATTTCTCCTGGATTGAAACAAAAGACTGTGTGTGGGGCAGGAAGGGAACGGGAGAGGAGAGAAACAGAGAGCTCACTTTGATCTTTTCTGCCACTGTTTCAGCACAGTGTTTACTACGGGGGAAGCGGGTGCCCCAGCCTTCCCCCACCCAGCCACCCCCCCGTCCCCTCCATTCACAGCCGAGGCAGGCAGAGCCCTTTCCCGGCGGCAGCTGGGAAGGGGGGTAAGGGAAGGCGCTCCAGCGGCGGCCGCCGCCAGGCTTTGTACGGGGGGCCGCGACAATGCCCGGGGCCCGCTCCGCGCCCCTCCGCCCGGCGGGCAGCGGGACGGCGGCGGCGGGCGGGCACCGCGCACACGAACGCTGCGAAACGCGGGGGAGCGACCGGCACTTCTTACCTGCTTCCCCTCTATATTGCAAAAGGCCGGGGAGCGCCGCTCGGGGTGCCTGAAGAGGTCTTCTTGCAAAGAAACAAGCACAGTGCTCGCCCTCTCGCCGGCTGGAGGCAGCCCCCCGCCCGGCAAGGGGCAGACTAGGCTGGAAAAATATAGATATTGCTATGAGAGGCGCTTGCCCGGGTCCTTCCTCCAGCTCCCGCTTCCCGGGAGGGAAGCTGCAGAGCTCGGTCCCCGCCGCTGAGCCGCACACGCAGGGCGCCGCCGCCGCTCGCTGCTGCAATCGCCGGGCAAGTTTGGCAATGTGGCTTCACTTTGTGCCGCTTCCCCCCGCTCCCCCACCTCCGCCCCCTCTCAGGGCTGCGGCGGCTCCCGAGCCTCCCGTGGCGCGGAGCCGGCCGGCCGCGGCCCGCCGGAGCGCCTCAGCGAAGCGGGCGGGACCGGCGAGTTTGAGCGGGGCCGGGCGCGGAGCTGCTGCCGGGATCCTGCGGCGGCGGCGGCGTTGGCGGGGCGCGGGGGGCGGCCCTTGTGCCCGTCTAAGCGTGAGGCTGCAAGTGCGTGTGTGCCCGCACGGTGCGCGTGTGCCCGCTGCCCTCACACATGTGTTACTGACAGAGCAGAATCCCAACTACACTCCGGCTCGGCGCCCTCGTCAGCCCGCCGCAGCCAATCCGCCCCCGGCTTGTTCAGGCGGAATAATAAAACCTGCCAATCCCCGGGAAGACAAAGGAATGAGTGAGAGGGGAGGGAAAAAAAAAAAAAAAAAAAAGAAAAAAAAAAAAAAAAAGGGAGGAAGGGAGGGGGTGATGAGGAGGAGGAGGAGGGGAATGGAGAGGAAGGAGGGAGTCAGGTGGGCAGCGCTGGCCGCGCCGTCTGCCTGGGCACTGAGGGGAGGCGCGCGGCCGTGAGGGCACCGTCCGCCCCGCCCCGCCCGCCAGCTCCCGGCCACCAGTTGAGAAACTTGGCGGTGAGGGCTCGTCCTCGCTGTCCCCGAGGGCAGTCCTGCTCCGCTCGGGCGGCGATGTCCCTCGGAGCCCTTCCCGGCCTCTGGTCGCTTCCCCCGCCGCCGCGGCCCCGCCGGGCCGGGGGAAGCGCCAGGGGGAGGCGCGGCCGCAGCAGCCGCCGCTTGCCGCCTTCGTGGCGCCCCCCGCGGCCACGTCCGGCCCCGGTGCCCGCACCGCGTCCTGAGGTCCCGCGCCTGGGCGGGCAGAGGCGGCGCGGGCTGTGCCCGGCTCGGCCTGTGGGCCCAGGGGCCGTGTCGAGCCCCCGATTGTCAAACATTCCCTGCGGGAGTGCGCTGCGGGACTCAGGCGGGCACGGCCCGCGGGGACCGCCCCAGTGGAGGTTCGGTGGGTTAAAGAGCCGCAGTTGGCGGCACTGTTCGGCAGTAGGACAGGCAGCTGCGTTTCTGAGGGAGAAACCCGGGGATGACGGCAAATCGGAACAAGTAATGTTCTGTTGGGACGCTTAAAACTGTGGAAAACCCACTGCGTATTAACTGCACGCGTGTGAGGCCTAAGTGCAGCACACAGGATAAGCACAGCCCGAATCGCAGGAACACACCCCCGGAATAACAAAGTGCTCCTGAACGCGGGCGCTGGTGCCCGGCACAGGGGACACACGCGCCTCTGTCACCTCGCGCTCCGCTCGCAGCGGCGGAGCCCCCTCATTCCCGGGCACATTCCCGGGATCTGTTAAAAGACAGAAAAACTTCCTAACAGGAGTTTCTTGATTCCAGACCGCTGACGTAAGCAGCAGCCAATGCAGCGCTGGCCGGACGGCAGCAGCGCTCGGGCCGTGCCGTGCGGCGCAGGCAGGGCAGGGCGGGCGCGGTGCCCCCACAGGTACACGGAACTCTTCCCGGCAGCACTTCCGAACGAGCGAGCGCCCCGGCGCAGGAATGCTGCCCGGCCGCCTGCCCGCGGACTGCCTGGCGCTGAGCCCGGCCCGGCAGGCGCAGCCCAGGTGTGCTTTAACCACATCGCCACCTGTGGGTCTCCCGCAGCCCTGCAGCCCGGCCTGGGCTGGGCACGGAGCCGTGTGCCCAGCAATCATGTAGAACTGGAAGGAAAATACCTGAGAGAAATGTACGCGGGAAAACGTGGGATACAGAAGATGCATTTTGCTCCTAAATTTATAAGAAATAAAATGTCGACATGTGAATGGCATCACAGGTATGATTTAAACACGGGAGAAAATTCTGTTCCTGTGTTTCTCCGTAGACTGGGATATGTTCAGAGTCTGCTTAAAGCAGTCTTGGGAGCGCATATGGAAAGGTTCCACAGGGAAAGGGGAGAGGAGCAGTGTTATGGTTAATTTTTTTTAGCATAGGTCTATGAAATATATCATCTGGATGTAATCTCCATGTACATATTACATTTAAACATACTCAGCAGTTTTAGATTTGTTATTTAGGATCTTGTACAATTTAAAATATATAAAGCAACAAGGCATGCTGCAAATAATCAACAATCACTGATATTTTAGCTCTCTGACAGTTAAGAGCACAAGAACAGAGCAAATGCCAAGCTAAAATAAAATCTACATTGTCTAATTATCTAAGCCTGTAATGGCTGGAAGCTACCAAATTCAGACTCTGGCAGAGCCATTAGGACCTCTCCTTATTGGAAAATATATTCTACCAAGAAAATCTGCCATAGGCACTAAAATGTTTACTAGTCTTAAAAGTGAGAGTGATACAAAAAAACAGGAATTACCTTCTCAAGGAGCAGAGTTTTAAATGGCTTAATGATGTCTTCCAAATAGCATTACAACGTTCATATCTTTTTTCTGAAA